CCCAGGGTCTGCCATGGCAAAAGGAGCCGAGCTTCCCCGCTCTGACTTTTCTCTCTAGGGGGGCTGCCCTCAACCTCCAACAGGGACGGAAGATCTTGGGGGGGGGGGGGGAGAGAAACCCAGCGAAGGGCAGATTGTGGGAGAGAAAATTCACTTTTACGGGGTCACCGGGTGTCAAAAACCACTCGATGGCACCTCATCCATCCATCCAACCCCTTCCTCCCCCTCCACCCCCCCCCCCTCTCTCCTAAGAGGCCTGTTTTCAACTGGGGCCGCTGCTGCTGGTGGTCCCTGCCAGGCGGATTTCTTTCCTTTTGTTAAATCGATTGGACAAGCGGGCAGCCCGGAAGATCTTTCCCTGTCAGGCTGCTACAGCCCGATCAATGTGGCTGCCAGGGGGGTGGTGGGTGGTGGTAAATCCGGAGGGGCCGCTTTACAGTCTGGCCACACAGAGCCCAACGCGACCCCTCCAGCTCTCCCATCGGGCTCGGTTCTACCGGGGCTCTTCTGCGGACGGGCAATCCTCCCCTTATGGCCACCACACAGCCCAACCTCTCTGCCGCTAAGCGAGTTGTCCAGCGAGCTTTGCCCATTTTACCAGCTCTCTTCCCGTGGCCGTGAACTGAATCCCTGCACCGGTTAATAAGCCCGGTCGTTAAGCGAATCCAGCTTCCCCCCATTGACTTGGCTTGTTAGAGGGTCGCAAAAGGGGGTTCATGTGACAACGCCCCCCCACATTCCCCCAGGGATGCTGCGACTGTCATAAACACGAGCCGGTTGCCCAGGGTCTGGATTTTGATCACGTGACCATTCGGGGGGGTGGGGTGCTGCAGTGGTCGTTAAATGTGAAAAATGATCAGTGTCTTTGTAACTTCGAACAGTCGCTGAATGGACTATTGTAAGTCAAGGATTACCTGTACTGGGTAGCCCCCCCCCCCCCCCCGATAGAAAGCCTCCCCCCCTTGAAACATGCCCTGTTATGGTTCCATTTAACTGGAGCCAGCTGACTTTTGTCTGCCAACCACGCCGACAAAAAACGGAAGGGGCATGAAATGAGCTGAGCCTCCATTATCTTGAGGTCCCCTGAGAAATGCCAGCCAGGAAGTTCAGCTGTGATTTGGCTCCTGCGTTTGATTTTTCTCTGCAAAAAAAGGCACTTCCCCTTGCAGCCCATCCCCCCTGCCCCGCCCGTTCGCCTTTAGGACTTAACTCCGTCACGTGGGACAGTCTCGTACGGAGGATGCAGCCAGCCAGCCTGGTTCTGCCACCCTGGCATGGCTGCATCTCCCCAGAAACCCCAGTAAGGGAATGTCCCTGCCATCTTGCCTTACCAAGAACAGTAAGTGACCATTTCAGACAGGTATCAAGGTCTGGTGCGGGAAGTGGGGTGCCCAGGATGTTATTCTAACAATGTCAAGTCATCAAACATTCCTAGGCCTGTTTTAGTAGTTGCCATAAGGAAAAAAAAAAGGGGGGGGGGATGAGGAAGGCAACCTAGAAGAGCCGTGCAGCAGTTTGAAAGCAAAAGTCCATTCCAACTCTTCTCTTTAAAAGGTTGTAACTAAACTACCAGAGCTTTTGCCCGCAATTATATTTCATTGGAGAACATGATTGATGACACCCAGAATGTCATTGGAGAATGTGATTGATGACACCCAGCCCGTGAAGGTGCTCAATGGGAGAACCTGGTTTATGAGACACCTGGGGGGGGGGGGGGGGGGGAAACAGGGGACTGGAAATGATGTAGGCCAGAGTTGGCTTCATACAGGGCAGGGCCAGGATGTCGCCTCTAAAGAATCCTTTGAAGTTTGGCTCGAGAATCATGATTTCATTAGGGCGATTGCTGGAATCCTGACAAACAACAGCTTAACTGAGCCCTGGCGGTGCAGCGATTAGAAGGCAGCATTGCAGGCAAACTCTGCTCACTACCAGCAGTTCGATCCTGACCAGCTCAAGCTCGACTCAGCTTTTCATCATCCCGAGGTCGGTTAAAAATGAGAAGCCAGATTGTTTGGGAGTAAGATGCTGACTCTGCAAAGTGCTTGGAGAGTGGTGTAAATCACTACGGAGTGTTATTTCGATTGCAACGTTTTCCTCCCTCCTCCTTTCCTGAGCCGTGGTGGTGCAATACTGCAGGTAAATTCTGGTCCCTGTCAGGAGTTTGATCCTGACGGGCTCAAGGTTGCCTCAGCCTTCTATCCTTCCCAGGTCAGTGAAAATGAGGACCCAGATTGTTTTAGGACAAGATGCTGACTCTGTAAACCGCTCTGAGAGGGCTGTAAAGCACTACGAAGTGGCATGTAAGTGATATTGCTATTGCTACTAGAGCCTCTGTAATAACGTTGATGGGACACATACAACAATAAACTTCAATGGTAGGCAATCAAATTAATGAAGAGAAAACTAAGAGGTTGATATGGGCAGAAAATGCAAAACAATTTATGCACAGATGGATTTTACTGCGGAAAATGTGAAATATTTAGGAATCTTCTTCGGGGCAAACAGTAAGGATTTATTCATGGACAATTATGTACTAAGTTGGAAAAAAATAGTTATTCCCCCCCTTTTTTAATTGCAAGGCTGCCTAGGGAATTCTGGGAGTTGAAGTCCATCCTTCTTGAAGGATGTTCAAAAATGCTGCTGTAGCATTTATGAGGAGGTGCCAAACTTACTCCAAGAGGGACACCAAACAATGGATTCTCGTGAGCCCCTTCACTGTAGCCTCCTCCTCCTCTTCCTCCTCCTCCTCCTCCCCCTGACAAAAATCCCGTCCAGAGGGACGCTGGGTGCTTCCGGCAAGCAGGCGGGGGCCATCCTTGAACCCGGGGAAGGAGAGAAGCAAGATGCATTGCCCCCCAAGTCTTCAAGTTGCCAAGGCTGAGAAACACTTGCCCTAGGCTGGCTGGGGAATTCTGGGAGTTGGAACTCCACAGGTCTCCAAGTAGATTAACAGAATGACAGAGTTGGAAGGGACCTTGGAGGTCATCTAGTCCAACCCCCCCTGCTCAAGGAGGAGACTGTACCATTTCAGACAAATGGCTGTCCAATCTCTTCCTAAAAACTTCAGGTGATAGAGCACCCAGAACTTCTGGAGGCAAGCTGTTCCACTGGTTAACAATCAGGAAGCTCCTCCTTATTTCCAGACCCGGTCTCTCTCTAACCAACTTTCACCCACTGCTTCTTGACCTGCCCTGCCCTCAGGTGCTCTGGAGAACAGAACAGAACCAAGTAACAGGGCTGGAAGGCACCCTAGAGGTCTTCTAATCCAGGGGTCTCCAACCTTGGCAACTTTTGAAGACTTGTGGACTTCTCACTCCCAGAATTCCTCAGCCAGCTTTCAGTTGAAGTCCACAAGTCTTAAAGTTGCCAAGGTTGGAGACCCCTGTTCTCTAGTCCAAGCCCTGCTCACGCAGGATACCAGAGGCCTCCAAATTTGGCAACTTTAAGACTTGTGGACTTCAACTCCCAGAATTCCTCCAGGACGCTGCAACCATCATAAACGTGACTAGGGGCACACTGCAAGGGTCGTAAGGGTGAAAAATGGTCATGTCACTTTTTTTCACTTCCGTTGTAACTTTGAATGGTCACTATAAATTAAGGGCCCCCCAAACTTGGCCACTTTAAGACACAGCTGGCTAGAGAATTCTGGGAATTGAAGTCCACAAGTCTTAAATTTGCCAAGTTTGTGGACCCCTGCCCTATACCATTCCAGACAAATGATTTTTCTTCCTAAAAACCTACAATGGTGGAGAACCCACAACTTCTGAAGGCAAACCGTTCCGTTCGCCTTGCCACCAGCTGTTTGAGGTCTCAATCCTGCCTCTCTCCCACTCTGGCTGGTGGTCCAGAGGAGTGAAACTCAAGCCGTACCAAGGAGGGGCTGATGGCCTGCTGGGCTCAGAGACCAACCTCTCTTTCCATTGGCTTGGAAGCCTCTGAAGCTTTAAAAAAAAAAAAAAAAGGACTTCGAGACTCGGCTGCTTTCTGTCGCCTTTTAAAATGACGACTCTGGCAGTTTCCAGGCAACCTGCGTTTCCACGGCGAAAGATTCCGGGAGGGTGAATGTATGTGTGTGTGTGTGTGAACCCAGCGTGTGCTTCTGATGGCGTTCCCTTGGTTCGGTTAGGCGTGACCGATTCCAGCTTGCCTCCGCTTAGCCCGGGTGCTGTGGCTCATTGGCGCCCGCCAAGGCCGGAGGAGACCCCCGCTGAACCGGGAGGGCAGCGGGGGACAGGCAAGGGGGCTTCCGCGGGCTCAGTCGGCGCTGCACCCCGATGTCTCTAAGGGGATTCAGCAGGACGGCGGGGCGACTGTCACCTGCACGGCTGTCTCCAGCGGAAGGATAGGGGAGCAAGCGAGCAGTTAACCCTCGACTTGCAATCATTCATTTACTGACAAGGTGACCCCTTTCCACACTTAATGACCCTCGCAGCCTCCTCGTGGTCGTGTCATCAAAATTCGGACGCTTGGCAACTGGCATGTAGCCCTTGACTTACGACCAGAATCACCGTCGTCATTTAACGAGCCCCATTAACCCTCGTGGGTGGAGTCTGGGAAACTGGAGCGGAACTCGCAGAGTGTTTTACTGGCCGGATGCCCTTCCTGTCGCCCAGCAGATATTTATATTATGTCCCTGTCACCCAGCAGGTATTTTCTCAGTGGGCCCAGCGAGAGAAATACCTGCCTCTACCTGAGATCAAACTCACAAACTCCTGACTGTGAGGCGAGAGCTCCACCTCCAGGCCACCAGAGGCTGGAATGATGCTGGCTGGGGAATTCTGGGAGCTGAAATCCACAAGTCTTAAAGGGGCCAAGTTTGGGGGACCCCCTGCTTTAGGTCTTTAACGGATAATCAGAATCGGAAGGGACCTTAGAGGTCATCTGGTCCAACCCCCCCCCCCGCCCAAGCGGGAGACCCTACACCATTTCTGACAGGGGGCAGTCCAGTCTCTTCTTAAAATTAGCCTTCAGGGCACCTGGGGAAGCTGTTCCTATGGTAGCCCTGAGGCTCTGCAGCCTGAAGGCACACCTGTCTTACCTGCGAGCAGCTTCTTGCAGCCTCACGGGCTGCCTGGCACTGAGGTAGGGCAGGCAGGCCTCCACCACCGTATTCAGGTCGTTCTCACCTGCAGAAAACAGTTAAGATGGGTGGCTCAGAGGGGGGGGGGCGCTCAGTCACACCCCCCTCCTGCCCCTGCCCCTCACGCCCTCCCTCTCCCCAGAGAGCCTGCTTGAGTGGGACCAGGCCAGGCCAGCAACAGAAATGCAGGGGAGGGTCCCTCCTCAGAGTCAACTGCAGCTAGTCCTCGACTTACGATGGCCGTTGAGGCCAATGTTCATTCTGTGAAGCTAGACCGCAGTCAAGCAAGTTTGGCTCCGTTTTAGGACCTCTGTCGCCAGAGTTATTGTTAAGTGAGTGACTGAAGTTGTTTGTGAAGTGAATCCGGCTCCCCCACTGACTTTGCTCGTTAGGGGGTCACAATAGGGGATCACGTGGCTCCCCCGGGATGCTGCAACCGTCGTAAGTACATGCCAGTTTCCAAGGGTCCAAATCACATGACCATGGGGATGCGGCTACGGTTGATAGATGTGAAAAACGGCCACAAGCCACTTTTATTTTTCCCGTGCCATCGTAACTTCGGTCACTAAACAGACAGTTGTAAGTGGAGGAGTACCTGTGGGGCTTTTCCCAGCAGGGCTGAATTCCCCGGGGATGGGGCACTATGTACATATGATAAAGGAAGAGAGAGAGAGAGCTGGATCCATATTGGTCCTCCACATAATACAGGTCAACCCTGAGGCTGACCTGGCCGGGGCCATTTTCAGGCTTCAGCGTTGCCAGACTGGAGCTGAGGGATTGGGGGTGGGTGGGTGGGAATTAGAGATAGCTGGGGTTTTGCAGCCTAAATAAATAAATACATAAACACACACACACACTTTCTGCTGGGAACCAAGGACATTCCCACAGATGCCCAGAGAGAGAAGTGAAGTCGCTAGGCTACCAGAGGGCACCTTGATTGGACCATGGGACTGACGGTTTGGGAAGGGAGGTAAAAAACTTTTACTTTTAATTAGGGTGAAACTGCAGGAATATTCAGAGTGCGTTTTCCCCAACCTGTGCCGATAGGAGATGTCCAATCAAACTGTTCTTTGGGGAATCTACCTGCCCCAGAATTCTGTTTGCTAGGGGCGTACGACTTGGAACCCTGACCATGTGTTTATGGTTCAGACCACCTGTCCCTGCCGGGCGTTGCGTGCAGGGCTGCAATTCAACTGGTATAACCATTTTAGTGAGGGGAGTGCGTGCTCCACGTTTGAAAAAGCTAATACGAACCCTTCAACTGCCGCTGAAGGAAACGGCTGAGGTGCAGCAAACCGCGCAAATCTGCACTCCCACACAAAGACGTAAAGCACGGGGAAGAGTAGGGCCCACATGCCCATCGGCGCAAGCCAGTTCGGAGCCGCTGGATCATCGGGACAAAGGAGAATCTCACCCCTGGTTACACAGGGCACTCCGGGTACTTACCCAGATCCAGAGCCTGGCAGAGGGACCCCAGGCCCTGGAGCACGGCCAGCTGCAGCTTGAAGGCCAGGGTGTGGCTGTAGACGGGCCCGGCCTGGGCGCTGGTGGGGGCCTGGGCGACAAGGGAGGCCGCCAGCTTTGGCAAGACATCTTTGGAGAAGCGGCTCCTGAGGAAATCCCCACTGTGGGCGCCGAGAGTGCACAGCACCTGCCAAGAAGCCCTCCAGCTGGTCACTCACCCCCAGAGACGAGACCCTGCCTGGGCTGAACTGAAGGCGAGCGCTCTTTTCCGGGAGGTTCTTCTTCTTCTTTTTTTTAGTTTCCGTTTATATTTTTCTTTAACATATGTAAGTGCTTAATAAGCAGTGCATCACCCGAGTCAATTTGCAAGTACATAATAAGAGTAATAACGTTCTTTACTTGTACGTAATGATATTCTTCCAATTTCTACCTGTATTATCTAATCATGGCTAAAAACCTTAAACAGATAAAACAGAAAAAATGAGCTGACAAAAAGAAAATAGACCTGCAGGTAGTTAAGAAAGTAAAATATTTGGAAATTTGCCTAACAGCCAGAAGTGCCACAATTAAAGAAGGCAACTTTACAAGGTTAATGCAACACATTGAGCTTGAATTGGAGAACTGGGAAACCTTTCCTGGGGTTCTGTGATTCATCTCCCCGTTCTCTGTGCTTGTTTCTCCTTCCTCCCAGAGAGAAAGGAGAGAGAAAGAAGCGAGGAGAGGAGTGGGAGGGAGAGGATGGGCTCCACCATGAGTCCAAATGCTCGGAAGATTAAACCTCTGGTCCCGCTGGCTGACCCAGATTGGATCCTGCAAGGTCATAACGGGACACGTCCATTCGCCTTACCTTAAAGGCTCCGAGAACAGCCAAGGGGTCATCGTTAACCAAGCGGCAAACCAGAGCAGGCCACGCCCGATGCGCCAGTGGAAGGAGCACGTTCTTGTGTGGACCAAGGACCATCACGCCGAGTTCGAGGACCTCGAGGGCCTATCGGGAGATGCCTCAGAGTCAGAAGACGAATGTGCCAGGATTAAGGGAGACAAGGGGTCTCCAATTCATAAGGTACGAATAGAAGAGAATATTTGTGGCTCAGGGTGGAAATGTGGGCTCCTTAGTGGCCTCTGAGCTTAGTTTGCTTGCAGACGTTTCATGACCCAACTAGGCCACATCATCAGTGCTAGAAAGGAGGGGGGTTTGCTCTCTGTTTATTATCCCTTCTAGCACGGATAGTGTTCCCTAGCTGGATCATGAAACGTCTGCAACAAAACAGCCAAGTTCAGAGAGAGCCAAGGACCCCCCCCCCCACCAAGTCCTCCTCCTCTTCTGCCCTGCACAAACCCCATCCCTTCTAGCACGGATGATGTTCCCTACTTGGGTCATGAGATGCTTGCATTAACAAAGCTTGGGGAGCACCAAGGACTCCCCCAGTCGTCGTCCTCTTCCTTTCTGCAAACCCAATTCTAGCACAGACGAAGTCACCTAGCTGGGTCATGAAACACCTGCAAGGAAACCGCCAAGTTCAGAGAGCACCACGATCTATAATGCGCTCGGTCCTTTGGGACAGTAAGAGGTTTAAGCCAAGACCAAGCAAGAAGGAAGATGGAGAGTGCCATTATGCCTTAGTTGGAGGCCATGGGGCAGCCAACTGTCCTCCTCCTCCTCCTCCTCTAGCTCCAATTCAGTGAGAACCTTTTGGGGCAGGAAAAGATGAGTGGAGCTCTATAAGGGGCCTCAATGCCGAGGACAGATGGACCAGGCTTGGGATAAGGGCCCTACTCAAGTCTGCCTTCTCCTTCCCAAAGTCAGGTTCTCCTCAGCCTGACAAGGACCTGCCACTCTTGTTGACCAGGATTCTGATGACTCCGATGGCCAGTTAAAAGATACATAGGTTGAGATGAAGAAAGAAATGTCCAGGCTATGGAGTTGTGGAAAGTTCCATAGGAAACCACAAGCTTGTGGGTTAAACATGTGTTCAAAACCACAGAAGGCGAACATGAGTATTTTTTCATCTGTTGTGCACTGGCTTCTTGATTCACACTGCATTCGGGGTCCTTTCAGCCTTATAGAGCAGCGGTCACCAACCGGTGGGCCGCAGAGAAATCTCACCCCCAGAGCACCCCCACAAAGCAATTAATCCAGGCTGCGCAGAAACACAAGGCTGCGCCGCCAACATGGCCTGCGGGAACCCTCCCCACCTACTCAAATCCTTACCCGGCAAACTTGTCTGCTAAGTTGCTATTTTATCTTTTTCTGACCATCATCTGTTCTGCTGTGCCGGGAGATTTAGATTAGCTAGGAAGCAGGAAATGGTTGGATTTCTTGCTTTCTAGCTCGTCTTTAGATCTTCGGCTCTGCTTTTAAGCACACACGAACCTCCCTTAGGACTGAAGTTTCTATTATTCAGTGCAGACTCACGGCAAGCAAATTTTATATGACAGACTCAGGTAACCGATGGCAGATAGATAGATCTCTGAATGAATCTGTGATTCTGTGAGCAACTCAATCTGCCTGCCTGCTTGGCCTGATTTTGGGTAAAAGTTGCTTTTTTATAAAAACAATTCAATATTTATATAATATTTACATACAAGCCATGCCCATCCAGTCACATGACCAAGCCACACCCACAAATTAGGCCACACCTACAGAAGCGGTTAGTGGTCCCTGGGATTTAAAATTATGAGTTTGGTGGTCCCTGAGGTCCACAAGGTTGGTGACCCGTTATGGAGGACCCACCTTTGTTCAGGTAAACACGTTTTATCAAGAGAGATCTGGATTCTGCCTCCTCACTGACACCCAGCTACACCTGGTTCCCTGCTTAACAACCTGGGTTGGGCTTTGGAGCAGGATTTAACACACCTGAGTAGGTGTAGGAAGAGGTCACCCTGCACTAGCCAAAGCCAAGGGCAGGCTGCCCCGTGTGTGTGTGTGTGTGTGTGTGTGCACGTGTGTGTGAGGGCCCTTGAGGGCTTGGCAGCATCAGAGAACAGCTGGTCACGTCAATGACATACCTTCAGTCGCACTGCGAGGCTCTTGCTGGGCAGCAAGTGGATGGCCCTCTCCAGGACATCTTTCGCCATCTTGGCCTGCAAGGGCAACGGCCTGTCCACCTCAGGAAGCTCTTCCGGTGCTCGGGGCTGCACTGCAGGATCCTCTGGGGAGGCAAGAGGCCACAGCTGTGGGCACAGTGGAGGGTGGGCGCGCGGAAGGAAAACTTGCTTTGCCGGCGTTGTACAGTCAGCCCAACAGCTGTGGGTGCTGAGACCAGGCACTAATTCAGCCACTCCACGAGTGGGCATTGCCCACCCCCCTGCCCAACCCCAGGCTAAGACGTTTATGGCTGTACCAACCTTCCTCCTCCTCCTCCTCGACATCCCCCTCTGCAACCCGCTTCTGCTTCACGTATGCCGAGAAGAACTCCTCCATTTCGTCTGCAGTGGGCAGGTTGGTCGGCCTTGGTGCCCACGGGCAGGAGGAACCACCTTCTGGCTTGTGCTGGGTTTCCTGCTCCGGCCCAAACCAGGAAGCTGCCAAGCAGAGGAAAAAGCAGTTGGGCCTCCCGGATCCAAGACGGGATGGGTGAGAATTTCAGACCAACATCTGGGGGAAAACCTTTGGACCAATACACTCTAGTCCTCATCCTCTGTATCAGAATAACAGAGTTGGAAGGGACCTTAGAGGTCTTCTAGTCCCACAGCCTGCTCACGGAGGAAACCCTCCACCATTTCAGACAAACGGTTGTCCAATCTCCTCTTAAAAGCCTCCGGAGCACCCGCAAGCCTTCAGGAGACCCGTTCCACTGATTAATTGTTCTCACTTTCAGGAAATTTCTCAGTTCCAGATTGCTTCTCTTCTGATTAGCTTCCATCCAGAGAAAGTTAAAGCTCCCTTTGCTCACCTCTAGTGATCCTGACAGCCAATTATGCCAGCGGGATGTGGAAGCCGTCAGCAAGTATTAAAAAAGAGACATAGACGCCTTTGACGAATCCTAAAGATTTGCTATTCCGACCATATTACTAACGAAAAAGTGATCCAAAAGAGTTTTTCCTGCAAACTGTCTCATGCAGAAGATTCCAACTTACAGGTCATATTTTCTGGAGAACAACTGATTCCCCAAGCTGGCAATGGGACAGACAGACAGACAGACAGACACACACACACACAGTGCCAAACGACCAAGGGGAAGCTTTCAAAATACATGGTGGAGAATCACCTGGGAGGATGCTGAAGAACTTGCCGAAGACCAAAAACGCTGGAGACCCCTTGCTGCCTAATTTAAGGCGGAGCACGGAAGGATCTAAGCCCAAGTTAAGCCTGGGGAAAAGAGCCTATTGGGGAAAGCAGGCTGAGGAAAGCCTTTCGCCCGCCCTGCGGTTATGCAAGTAAAGCCATTAATGGAAGGAAGTTCTTTCAATTCAATTAGCTCCCCGTTTCAAAAGCTCCAACCTGGCTCAGAGATGAATTGGTGATAAAAAGCACTCGGAACATCACCCTGGGGTGAGGGCTACAAGCACCAGGGACAGATACAAATGGGAAGAACAGAGGCAGCTCCATGAGAAGAACAAACGTTGCCTCTGCCCTGATGGAATACCTTGCTCCAGGGGGAGGCAGGCCCCACCCTTCCTGATCATCAACTTTTGGCTCTGCCAGCTGGCATAGGGTCCAAGAGTGGCAGGCAGCCTTGGGGGAGGTTGGTGGCTTGAAGGTGGCCCCTTCTGCCTTTTGTAACTGTGTTTCTTTTTATATGACTTATCCAATATTTAGGATCCAATAATTCAGGGGCTGCCACAAAGAGGAGGGGGTCCACCTATTGTCTGAAGGCCAGACAAGAAGCAACAGATGAAAACCAATAAATGGGAGAACAAACCTAGAAATAAGGAGAAATTTCCTGACAGTGAGAACAATTAACCAGTGGAATGACTTGACTCCAGATGTCGTGGGTGCTGATCTCTGGAGGTTTTTAAGAAGAGATTGGAGGGCCATTTGTCTGAAATCGTATAAAGTCTCCGGCTTGAGCAGGGGGCTGGACTAGAAGACCTCCGAGGTGCCTTCCAACTCTGTTATTCTGTTTTTATTTGTAAAACCGCCCACTCATGTACGTGAGGTGGTGCGCTTAAAAATTTGATCATTAAATAAATAAAAATACACGGATGTCAAGCTTTTTTCTGCCAAGGAACAACCGGCACTCTGAATATAAAGACTGTCAGGTTGGATAAAAAGGTGTAAGACTGATATATAGCTCCCCCCACACCCGCCCCGCCCGCCTTCTCTCTCTCTCGCGCGCGCACACACATAGCTTGAAGCTTGTACTTAGCAGCTGCTCGTTTTCTGGTCTAGTGAAGATGATGATAATAATAATTGTATATGCCATCTGACTCTCAGGGACTCTGGGCAGTTTGCAAAATGTGAAAACATTTAAGAAAACTGCTCACAAAAAAAAAAAAAGAGAGAGAGAGAACAACGATGAGAAAGATAACAATTCCAGATGGAAGCGAAGAAAAAGAAGCGAGGGCGGCTTCCATCACCCTTGCAAACAGCCAGGGGTTCAGGGCCCTTTGGAACACCAGTAAGGTAGGGGCTGTTGAGAATCTCCGGGGAACCTCATTCCGGAGGGCCAGGGGCTGCTAGAGAAGGGGGACTTCTGGGATACAGAGAGGTGGCTTTGTTTAACAGGAGGGAGGAAGGAAGGAGAGCACCAGCCTTGCAAAATTAAGTTGACCAGGCAGATGCTGTGGGAGGTGGTGGTCCCTCAATTATGCAGGCCCCGTGCTACGAGGGAGCAACCAGCACCTTGGAGCCTATGGAGATTCTCTGGTCATCCAGGCCATGGATGTCCCAAAGGTGTTTTTCCCCCAGGAGGCGAGTCCAACGGTGAGTCAGAAGTTCTATGGAGATTCTCAATCAATCATCCAAGCTGCACCCCCCCCCTCCCCCCAAAAGGCAACTCAGCTTTCTCGGTGTTTTTCTTTGAAAACATTTTGCTTCTCACCAAATAGTTTCTTCAGAACTGTGAAGAAGTTATTTGCTTGCCCACCTTAACTTATTAATCCATCTCCAATTCTAAAGAAGCTTCTTGGATGAGAAGTGAGATGTTTTTCAAAGAAGACACTAGGGAAGTCCAATTGTCTTTTTGGAGGAAAAACACCACCACCTCCGAAGCGACTGTCTGAAATGACTTCCTCATCTGGGAATGGCACAACTTGTGTGCCAGATGAAGCCGTGGAAAGGTCTTCCGGGCCACAGCGGTCACCTGCCCGGGAACCAGGAGTTGTGAGTCCAGAAGACGCACAAACTGTGTGTTGCTTTGGAACAGGGAAGCACCATCTGATTTAAAGGTAAAGGTGGAATGTCTTCAGATCTGGGCAGTCCAAACACCCAGTCACCCAGTCCGGGTAGGAGTGAGTTAGAGAGGAGTCCTCCCCATGCAAACCCACATAAGCCCCTGGCACTGGGGCAGAACCTCACCAGCCTTGCTTGGCTGGCCTGGAGTTGAAAGATACAACTGGGTATCATCGCACCGTTGATCCGAACCCTGAATCAGTGGATGACGTCACCCAGGTAAAGGAGGATTTTGTGGTATCAGAAAGCATGACAGAGAAGACAGGCTTCCTCATTCTCACAAGGCAACATCAGGGGGCTTTAACCAGTGCCCCCCTCCCTGCCCAAACATTCCAGAAAGGTAGATTCAATTGGAAGACAGGATGTCTATGCCCTATGGCGTGTGGGGCTTTACAGGTGATAACCAGCATCCTGAACTCTACCTGGTAAGAAACACTCTCTGTTCACTATTCAGAGTTTCATTAATTAAGATAAATATGCTTAAGAGGTGAACACACACAGTTTTTAACCCAAGTTAACGAAACACAATTGCTACATTCACATTTTATGCAACTTCCAACCAATAAATCACCCAAATCCCATGGCTGGGGAATTCTGGCAGTTGGAAGTCCACAAGTCTAAAAGTTTCCCAAAGTTGGACAACCCTGCGCTACACCAAACTCTCTCTCCAAACCTGGTCTAGTGTCTTCTTAACTCGATCAGACGTAAAAGCAGGCTTAATTGCTCCCTTAGTTTGCTGTTGCTGTTCTCTTCCCCTGAAGGTGGTGGATTCCAGCGCAGCAAAAAAGCATACGGGGAGTCCTCAACTTATGACTCCAAATAGAGCCAGCAACTTTGGTTGTACATTGCTGCAGTCATAAGTCAAGCCAGCATGCGATCTGACTTGAATGTACGTCCATTTGTATGATGGTCAATAACTGAACCACATAGTTGTTAAGCAAAGCACATGGTTGTCACTCCGAATCCAGCTTATTCAATGGGCATTTTTGCTGGAAAATGGCGCAATAAATCAATCAATCACAAATGCTAACTGTCAAATGCCCAAAATGCAATCACGTGACCAAGGAGGTGGTACGGCAGTCAAAACTCTCAGGAAAGGGGGCAAGTAATTTTTAAAAAATTTGGCCGTAATTTTAAACATTAAGTAACCATTAAGTTGAGGATTACCCATGTTGGCTGGGGAACATAGGAATCGAAGTCCAACAGATCTGGAGGCAACTACTATAGCCGCCGTGGCACAGTGGTTAGAATGCAGGCAGGCTACTTCTGCTGACTGCCTGCAATTTGGCAGTTTGAATCTCACCAGGCTCAAGGCAAATAGGCTGTGAACTGCTTAGAGAGGGACGGAAAACACTGTAAAGGGGTATATAAGTCTAAAGGCTCTACATGCTACTAGGACTGGAAACGCAAGTTTATCTTAAGGGCAAAACCAGCAAGTTGTGGAGCAGAGGCATTCAAAAAACCTTTCCCAACCTTTCATTTGTAGTTACCTAGTGAGGCCATCAGGGTCCGTAGCGCCCCGAGGAACGAAGACGCCCGTTCACTGTGACACTGATCCAGCCTGGCCAAAACGTCTTCAACCAGGTCCTCCACCAAGGAGGCCCCCCCGGCGTCCGAGTGTCGGAGCATGGCCTCCAGGACCTGCAAGGCGTGGGGCTCATCGGCTGGGTGCCTCAGGTGCAAGGAGACCCCATTTGCCAGGTAGTCGGCATTCTGCCTGAGGAGCTCAGGGACGGAGAGGTAGCCACAGGCCTGGCAGATGTTGGCCAGGGTCCCCTTGGCAGCCTGGCTGACCAGGAGCGTGCCGTCCCCAGCCTTCTCCAGCACAGGGTACAGAGCAGAGATTAGGAGCAAGTGGAAGTCCTTCCCCAGGGCAGAGGCAAAGCCGCTGATCCCTTCCAGTTGGATACAGATCTGCCAAACGTTGCTGTTCATAGAGCGGAGGGTGGGGCTCGAACCCGGGGACACCAGGGGTCCGTTAGGTGCTCCATACGTAAGAGCCAGGGGCCTGGCATCTGTGGTCACGGATTCAGCCCAGGACTCCTGAACCTCCAAGCGGGTGACCAAATGCCAGTTTGCCGAGTCCACGTATTCTTCTAGCACGGACGTTACGATCCCCACGAGATCCTCTGAGCTCAGCAAAGCGTTCTGCGCCTCCTGCCCTGCGGCTCCAGCAATCAGTTCATTGACAACCATGGCGGCCTGCTTCCGGTACGCCGCGGACTCCCTGTACAGGTCCATGAAGTGATCCACAAGCAAGTAGAGATTCCCGTAAGTGCCCAGAGCCCGGCAAATCTGCTGCAGGAGGGGGAAAATCCGGTCATCTGTGAAGAAGCGGAAGTACTTCCTCTGGAGGCGGCCCGGGGCGGGCTGAGGAAACGCTCCCGGGGCGCAGCTGTTCTCCTCCACAACCTTCACATCCTTCGCCTCCAGCTCCAGGACTTGCATCAGGGCCTTGGAGAGACGCTGAAGGTGGGAGGCAGAGTGGAGAACCACACTCACCTTTGGGCCCAAGAGCTTCAGGTACCCGAGGACCAGGTTCAAAGTGGCAATCTTGCCCTGGTCGTTCTGGGAGGTCATTAAGCGGGGCAGGGCAGTGGCCAGAGAGTGCAGATCCTCAGCTAGGATGTCGGCCAGGAGCCTGTTCCCGGCTACCCTCTCCTGCGCGGCCATATCCTTCAACGCCCTCTCACTCAGACGCTGGACCTCGGGGCTCTCGTCATTGACAAGGCCTACCAAGGCTTTTAACAACTGCCCCGCCGAGTCTACCAAAGAGCGCCCACAGGCGGTCAGGAGGAGGCGGGCCATTTCCACCAGCTCCCGTCGCACCTTCCAGTGGGGATGAGCGGACCCAGATGTAACCACCTTCTCGATCAGGACGGAGAGTCTGGATGCGGTGTTTCTCGCCCAGTCTGCGCCTCGGTGGACCACCAGTAGCTGTATTTTGCTCTGTTCAGAAGCTGGCTTCTTCCTCTCCGGTGGGATCTCCGCTAGCTGTTCATCGGCCATCACCAGACCGATGGTCCTAGAGAAGAGCCGGATGGCCGAGACCGTGACGGCATGACCTTGCTTCGTGTCTGCTGCGATAATCTTGGAGAGGGTGATGGAGATCCCAGGGAGGAAGGAGGCAAAGAGATCTCCACATTGCCTCCTCTCCTCTTTCTCCAGGGACTGGTGATCCTCTGGGCAGTCGCACTGCAGGAGGAGAGCCTGCAGACACCGCAAGGCCGTGATCTTAACCTGCCGGGCTTTTTCCTGTTCGGCAAGGGCCAAAAGGAGGGACACGGCAAAGCCCAGCTGGGGAAGGCTGGAGGGCTGGTAGAGAGACAGAAGGATGTCTCCATAAGCGGAGTGCAGCAAGGCGAGCAGAGCCTGGCCCACGTCTTGCTTCAGCTCCTCCGACAACAGGGCCAGCTGGGATGGGTTGGAGGGGGACGCCAGGCAGACACAGAGTTCGGAGAACAGCTCCAGGAGGAGATCCCCCTTCTTCACGCACGTGGACGAAAGCACGAAGCCGATGCACTGCACCACGCTCCGGACCACACCCTCCCGCTTCGGCCCGGGGGTCTTGAGGGTGAATCTCAAAGGGAAAAGGACGTATTCCTGGAGCTCCTGCAGGGCCGAGTCACTGACTACCCCCAGCTGGGAGTGGAGGCGCTCCACGTTCTCCACTGTCTGGGCCTTGGTCAGCTGGACGCAGGCAGGGCGGAGGGCCCCAAAGGCCTCCTGGGGGGTGTCGAAAATGGCCATGGCGGCCGCCGCTACTCCATTCTCAGGCTCACTTGACCTCCATGCTCCTGCCAGCGAAAGAAAAGGATGTTTTTATTTAGTTAGTAATATCCCTGGGATAGGGATAGGGATGGGATAGGATAGAAAATAGAGAATAGAAGAATTTAGAATAGATTACAGGACAGAATAGAATGCAGACTAGAACAGAATAGAAAATAGAATAGTGGAGAATAGAGAATAAAGAATTTAGAATAAAATAGAGAATAGAATAGCATAAAAAGTTAGAACCGAGAAAAGACTAAAGAATTTAGAATAGATAACAGAATAGAATGCAGAATATAAAATAGAATTAGAATAAAAATAGAACAGTACAGAGAATAAGAGTAGACTAGAAGCTGGAAGGGAACCTGGAGGTCTTCTAGTCCAGCCCCTTGCTCAAGCAGGGGAACCTATAACATTTCAGATAAGGTGGCTGTCCAGACTCAGCTCCAGGAGATTCCCACCTACATTATTTTCACAAATCTCACAGCAGTGAACATCGCTCATTCAGGCAGTCCCCGATTTACAACCACTCGTTTAGTGACCCAAGTCACGATGTCACTGAAAAAAGTGACTCAGGACTCAGGTTTCACACCTTGGCAACTGGTTCGTATTCATGACGGTGGTCGCCTTCACCCCAGGGTTACGGAATCACCATTTCTGTTAACCTTTCCCAGCGGGCTTCTGACAAGGAAAGTCGAGAAGGCGGGTTTGCTTAGCGACCATGCGATTCACTTCATGACTGCAGGGATTCCCTTGGAGGCCCTGGCAAAATGGTCACTGAACAGCTGGCTTTGCTCAGCAACGGAAATCTGGGGCTCCACTATGGTCGTAAGGACAACCTTAGGTCGTAAGTCGAGGACTACTCGTTTCCTCTCAACAACCACCCTGTGAGGTGGGCTGAGGAAGGGGGGGGGGACTGGCCGGCCGGTTTCCGTCCCTGGGGCAGCAGCATTCGAACTCCTGACTTAAGAAGTAGCCTTAAGTAGCCCGTAGTTAGGCGGCTGCCCCCCCCCCCCCGACCCCCCCCCCCCCCGGCCTTGCCCCACCGCCGGGGAATCCCCTCAGAAAGGCGGACCCCAAACCAGCTGGGGCTCCTCCACAGGGAAGGCCTCCGCCGGCTGGGCCTTCTCCACCCATCCCGGGCCAGGCAGGGTCCCTCAGCGGAGAACGGACACGCCAGGCCCTTCGCCCGGGACCCCTTGCCCGACAAGGCCACAACCCGCTCGGACGGCCTGAGGGGAAAACGCGCCCTCATTACCTTGCCCGACGCTCAAGGCGCCTGCGCGAACGCCCGCCCGCGCATGCCCTCAGCCTTCCGCCCGGCAACCGGCACGAGCGCGCGGCGCGGAACGCGCAGGCGCAGCGGCCTTTTTTTTTTTTTTTTCCCCGCGCGGACTGCGCAGGCGTCACCGTCGGCGCTCTCAAGCTCCCCCGTGGTCACTTGGCAACTCGCCCCTCCTCTCTCTCGCCGCCGCTGACCCTTCCGGCGACCCGTAGCATGCCGCCCTCTGACCTTCGGCGGCGCCAGGGTGAAAGGGCGGACGGCCATTTTGTGGCGGTTGGTCGCCCCTGAGGCCGGGGGCCCGGTCCAGCCAGGCCAGGCCGGGTCGGGTCGGGCGAAATCCCCGCCGCCATGTCGTCGTTCTCGGAGTCGGCGCTGGAGCGGAAGCTGTCGGAGCTGAGCAACTCGCAGCAGAGCGTGCAGACGCTGAGCCTGTGGCTCATCCACCACCGCAAGCACGCCGGGCCCATCGTCGTCGTCTGGCACCGAGAGCTCCGCAAGGGTGAGGGAGGCCAGCGAGCCGCAAGCGCCGCGTAAAAAGCGGCCGGGGACCGACCATCATCCCCGGCCAGGCTCTCCCCCGGCGTGGAGGGCAGCCGGGCGCCTTCTGGCCCTTGAGGGGGCGGGGAGGGGTGGCGGGCGGGAGGAGAGGCCCACAGGGCGTATTGTTTTGAGGGTGGGGGGGTCTGAAGGGCTTCATCTCCGGGCCTGGGTCGGATACGGGTAGTCTTCGACTTTTAACGATTCGCTTAGTGGCCTGTCCGAAGTTATAACGAAGTTATGGGAGGGGGAAAGGTGCCTCGTGGCCAGACCTCGCACTTACGACCGCCGCAGCATTTCCCGCCCTCCCCACCCCCACCGTCAGGGGAGTCCAAATGCAGATGCTTGGCAACGGACTCACATTTATGACCGTTGCTCTGTGTGTGTGTGTGTGTGTGTGTGTGTGTGTGTATCATGTGATCTTTTGCAAGTCAATGGGACTCACTTAACAACTGTGTGGTGAACAGCTGCAGTGATTCACGTAAACAACTGTGGCAAGCAAGAAAGGTTGCAAAAAAAACGCAGAACTCGCTTAACAACGGTCTCGCTTGGCCACGGGAAATTTGGGGCTCCATTGTGGTCATAAGACGAGGAGTCCTCTTTACCCACCAGGAAATTTGGGTCGCCTGGGTTGCTTCAGTTCTCCAGGCTCCAGTTTATCCTGTACAGGGAATCCTCGACTTTCAGTGGTTCGTTTAGTGACCATTCAAAGTTACAAGGGCCTGAAAAAAGTGACTTATGACTGTTTTTCACATTTACGACCATTCTCATAGTCACATGGTTTATATTCAAATGTTTGGCAGAGACTCACCTTTATGTCGGTTGCAATGTCTCCTTGAGACTTCCAAGAAGAGACTGGACTGCCACCTGTCAGAAATGGGGTAGGGTCTCCTGCTTGGGTGGGGGTTGGACTAGATGACCTACAAGGTCCCTTCCAACACTGATTATCTGATTATCCCTGGGGTCACCTGATCCCCTTTGGGAACCTCCTGACAACCAAGGTAATGGGGGGGGGGGGGGGACCAGATCCCCTTAATGACCGTGTTACTAATTTAAGCACTGCAGTGCTTCACTTAACCATGGCAAGAAAAGTCGTAAAAACAGGTCAAATGTCCCAAATCTCTTGCTGAGCCACAAAAAAAGGTTGGGCTCAGTTGTGGTTGCAAGTCAAGGACCACCTGGGCAGGCGGTTTTACGACCACAGCCAGACCCAGAATTTATGTTGCTAAGCAAGGCGGTGAAGTGAGTCCACACTAGATTGGATGATCTTTTTTGACTGGGACTGTTTGGTGAAACGCTGCCGTTGTTGAGTGAATCATGCGGTCGCTAAGCAAATCTGGCTTCCCTCACTGACTTTGCTTGTGGGAAGGAGGCCGAGAAGTTTGCAAATGGAGGTCACACCCTGGGAAGCCACGTTATGTGGATATGCTGTTTTCAAGCACTGGCCATGTGTGGTCACGTGGCCCCTTGTCTGATTTGTTGGGCTGTCACATCCCTTGCAGACGTTTCGCTTCTTATCCCAGAAGCTTCTTCACTTCCTTCACTTAAGATTTGTAGTGGTGCCTAGTTGGGTAGCTGTGAAAATGTGTCATGGGGAAATATTCAAGTATTAGAATTAGAATAAGAGGTTTGGAAGGGACCTCGGAGATCTTCTAGTCCAGCCCCCTGGTCAGGCAGGAGATCTTATACCATTTCAGACAAATGATTGTCTAATCTTTTTTAATTAAAAGTTTATTTTAACACAGACATTAACAAATACAAACATAAAACATCAAGTAAAAACATCTTTCCATTGTACAATGTGTCGGTTGGTACATATCTTTTGTGCGCAATATCAACAGTCTTTCCCTTCTAAGTGCGTTATTAAAATTCATATTCTATAGATCAACTATGCATGTTATGTTACATCATTGTTAACTCCTTATTAGACTTTAATTATAAATTCACATCATTCTTTTCGAGCAAATCTCAACTTTTACAAAGCCTAATTCATAATATTCATTTTATTGTAATCAGTTATAACATATTATCTTATCTTTGTCTAATCTCTTCTTAAAAACCTCCAGGGAAGGAGCATCCAAAAGTTCTAGTGGCAAGCAGTTCCACTGGTTAATTGTCCTCACTGTCAGGAAATTTCTTAGTTCTAGGATGCTTCTCTCCTTCTTGTCCTGCCCTCAAGTAATTCACAGAAGTTTAACTTCGAGGCCTTGGAGCCACCTGCAACCCCATCGTTGAACCCCAGACAATGTTAATTGTACAGGGAGTCCTCCACTTATGACCACAGTTGAGCCCTAAATTTCTGTTGCTTTTGTTAAGTGAATTTTGCCCCAATTTTATGACCTTTCTTGGCCCAGTTGTTGAGTTGTTATTTCTAGCAGGACAACCAGGTTCTTTGTTCCCTATGCCATCCATCTGCTAAACTCGCAAGATTCGTTTCTCTCACCATGTACATGCATGCATCCGAACTAGGACTGTGTTGTTTCTCTCTGTCATAATATATGTGGCTATATGCACAATTATATATTTATGTATGTATTTAGTCATGTTTATGTAGTGTATATTGGAGGTGGTGACCATTTATGCAATGAAATTTCATTTTAAGGTATGCGTACATTCGATTAGTGTACATTCAAAGTGACAATCAAGTTATTCTAAGTCTAAGCAAATCGCTTCAATTAGCGACAGGGTTGTTAAGTGAATCCGGCTTCCCCATGAACTTTGATGGTCAGAAGGTCACAAGAGGGACGCTGAACGTCATAAATACGAGTCGGTTGCCAGGTGTCTGAATTTTGATCACGTGACCCCAGGGATGCCACGGTCCCAAGTAATCAATACATCCCATTCAATAAGAACTCCGAGGCAGGCGTATTCCTCAAAGGACATTTTATTTGGGACATATCAAA